TTTTTGATTGTCAGTGCTATACTCATGGATTGACTCCACGTTGTATAATTGTCTTCCATCAAGGTTTGTGCTACAAGTATTGCACCAGGTTGATCTGAATAATGGAGAAATAAGGGATGGTTGGGATTCTCCCATGGTTCTGGAACTCTTGAAGGTGCAAAATTCTTGTCATGATCAACAGCTTCTCGTCCTTCGTCACCTGCCATGGTGGATTGTGTTTGTGTAGGATTCTAGGTCTCCAAGAACTCGTGCTCTGATACCATAAAGAGGAATTGAATATGAAGAATTAATTTTCTTACCTTTCACTAAATCAAGTTACATGCTTTATACAAGATATTAGAGCCATTATTTATGGCCCAAGATTATCCTACCATATACGAATTGCCTTATTATAGCTAATAGAATCAATACGAAGATTGTGTCGATTTCTTTCCTTTAACAAATACATCTATAGTTTCGTTAGAATTTATTTTTTTTAGCAGAATTGAGAATGTAGAAGACACATTTTAAATCACCAAGCAGGATGTATAAGTCACAATCAAATACTCTCAACTGGTAATCCATATTCAATTTTTTAGAACAACGTTGGTAACATTTACATAATAATGTTTTTTCATAAGAGACATACCTCATACGAATTCCCACGAACGAAATAAGATTCAATTGAGTATGAATCCCGAAATTCACTATATTTTCTAATATAAATTCGTACATATATAATTTTTAGGAGCAATAATTATGAATTATGACCTGATTTTTGAAATAAATCTACAAAGTTTGATATTTTTGAAATTGGATTTTTGAAGTATGGTAGTCATGGATTTTTCCCAATTATAAAATAGATGCATTCAAGGGCTAGTTTAGCTATCTATTCTAGCTTCCGTGCCTCAGTCAACACTAATTTCGCATTTACTATCAAAAGTTCATTCGAGGCGTCACACACAAAATCCCAAAAAAAGGCAATATAGTGAATTGAAAATCCTCAACAAAACCAATACAAAACGCATTTCAAGGCGAAATAGATGGGGTTTTGAGTTTGCGCTGAAAGATTGAAACAAAAAAATTGGGTTGTTTCTTATTGGTGTGCTGTGGGCAAATTCTTTTCTAATTTCTTTACTTATTTGGCAATTAGTATAGGGGCTTGGGCAACACCCATATCGGTCATTGCTCACATTGAGGTGAACCTCCATAAATTTTGTATGTTTTCGTGTGTATTTTATTTTGGTGAATTTATTGCTCTTGTTGGTAGAATCAGAGTTTTTAATTTTCAACAACGAACTCTTTAGAAGGCATTTTTGAAAAATGGTTTAATCGTTAGAAAATCTTTCTCGACTAGGATCTACAGATTTTGGCTTTGGCGTCTACCTAAATCGGCTATCATGATAAATGGAGAATATTAATACAACCCAGAAGGATTAGCCCCACTTTGGTGGAGATTAAAATTAGATTTTTAGTAGATTCTGATAAAAATTAACCCAAAATATGGTTCAAAAGTTGTGTGTTCCATAAAACACGTGGTTAAAATTAATCGTCAATCTTAATTTAAGTTTAAATTTTATTTTATACCAAACAAGGGCTTAGAACAGAGATGTACCGCTCGAATTCTTATTGAATTAGATGAGAGAATGAAGACTTTATTAGCGCCTCTTTCTTTCAATCGCATGACCTAAGTATTTTTGTCTAAAAGTACTTTGATTCTCTTAAAAATCCTGAACTCATTAATGCGTGATCGGTTTGTCTTTTTTGCAGTGCAAGAGAGTACACAAGTGTGTGGAAACCCCATACCAAGTGTCACGACCGCAACTTTACTTAAACCCCGTAACCATATCGCAGCCGCAATTGACCCAACTTGGACTGCACATTGTAATAATTTATTTAAATTGTAAAATAGATAGAAATTAGAAAAGTTTAAGTGGAGAGTTTAAACTCCTTTCTTTACTTCCTTAGGTAGTGCGTCAGCAATCACTTCGATTTTGAGGTCCGTTTCAGCAAGCAATTCGGCTTGTAGAGCAATGACTTCGGTTTTGAGGTCCACTTCAGCATTTTGACTTCATGGGTCTTTGTTTGACTTTTTTTGTTGACTTTCTGCATACGTGATTTGTTACGAAGCACTTTTCTTAAAGCCTCGGAGGCGAGGCGTAACAGTAACAATGAAATGTGGGGACATTGTGCTAATTACCCATTTTTAGTTAAGAAAATAGGTGAAAAAGACATTTTGCACTATGAAATATGAAAATAAGGGTGAAAATGCTAAAAAATAAAAAGTATGGATGTTTTTCACAATAATAATGAAATGTGGGGAGGTTATGTGCTAATAAATTACCCTAGTAAATTTTGATTAATTTAGAAGTCGAATATTTTATTTTAAATGGGTGGATGATATAATTACCTAAAAAAAATAAAGAGAGAGCATTGGACTGAGCCACAGGCCTGCATTGGAATCTTTTGGACTCCGTCCCTGAACAAGTGCTCAAGGTATAAAATGGAAGGGCAAAACCTGTTATAGTCACAACTAAGTGGGAAATTTTCGTTTCACTTTGCAACACCACCACAACTAACCGGTAACTTTTCGATCAAATCTCCCTCTTTTTTTTATTTTTCCCCCTTTTCCTTTTCCAGTTTTAGATGGGCTCCCCTATTTATTTGGCACGTCCAAATGGGAGTAATTTTGTGGATCAATTCACAATTGGATGTAATAAAGAGTAATTGATTTACTAGAATTTTATTTTTAGTTTCTTCTTTGACTGGTCGAGCATTTTGGTTCTGCCGTTAATCTCTTACATCCACTAACTAAAATGGAATGTTGATATAATGATATAGCTACCAGATCTTGATATAATAGTACGTGACAGTAGATAATTGGATGAAAACGTTGATTGTATTTTAAACTGTCAAATGATAAAATGTCACGTGACATTATGTCAAGTTTTATATCAATTTCGATGTTCATGTAACATGATTGGATGATATAATGCTCCACGTGTTGTAATAGTGTCAACCATTGCAAGTTTATATGTTAAAAACTAGGGCTGTGTCTGGTATCCATCATTTGACAAAATTTCAACTGTTATTTACCAAATGAGCAGCCATTTTTTACTGCTTGGGAGAGGGGAGGACCCACCAGTTGACTGTAACGGTAAGATTTTGGCTTAAAATCTGGGAATAATGGTTACGAGACAAACCCTAGGATTGAGTTCTCTAATATTTTACGTTGCGCAACTATGTGATCACAAACCTTTTAAAATAAGGTTATAGATACACAATCTATTTAAAAATGTAATTCTAAGTTCTTTGTTATCAAGATTGTAATATAAATAAAATTTACACGTCCAAATTGAAAGTTTGGATCACTCGAAGGTGCGGATTCATAGACTTAAAAAAGATTGAGGACTCATAATCTCAATTTTGAATGTTGTGTACCCATAACCACAAATTATAAAAGTTAAACTCGTTGACTTTTTTTTTTTTTGACTTCCCTCGGGGAAACATCAAACGAAAACATTTCGGCGCCGCAGGGTAAAATTTCAAAATTTTTCGCACGCTAAAAACGCGCCATTTTAATCGTCTCTTACAAGTTTCATCTATTCACATCCCTACTGCATCTCTTTATCTGCCTACAATACAAAACACAGAGACGACAGAGTTTCAAAAAAGAGTAAAAAATGGCAGACACATCCCATCTAGAAAGAATGGGCAGAGAGCTCAAGTGCCCCATTTGGTAAATCTGTTTTATTTCTATGTTTCGCGTAGACTTACTTTATTTTCCCAAACTTTTAATGGGTTTCACTGGTTTTGAACCGAATTAGTGTCCGTTAATGTTAGATTGTTGAACAAAAATTTATGAGAACGTATAATCTTGAATTAGTGGGAATTTTCGCTTAGTTTACTCTATTTCTTCATAATTTAAATGGGTTTCTTAGTTTTTGAAAAGATTTATTGTAATTCTATAGAAAAATTGTTGAAAAACAATCTGGGCTCGAACAATTATAAATTAGTTGCCAACTGAATTATTTTATTGATTTTTTATTTTACCATTTTGACAGCTTGAGTCTTCTGAATTCCGCCGTTTCACTTACCTGCAATCATGTATTTTGCAAGTAAGCTCTTCTCCGTACACTTCTGTTCAAGCATGACATTTATACTTGTCGAGGGACTCAATTTAATGCATTCGTTTAATGATTCAGTTCATGTCTGGAGAAATCTATGAGATCAACATCCGATTGTCCAGTGTGCAAAGTTCCATATCGACGCAGAGGTTTTATTTTTTACTGCTGAGTTTATCCTTTTTCTCTCTTTTACACTCGGCAAACTCAAAGTAGCACCGGTATTGAGGACGTAAAAATTGGAATTAGAAATGAGGATTCTGTCCACGTTATTGACCTTGAATTCCAGTTTTGAGCCAAATTCCATGATAATCTTACTTGAAACAAGTGAGATCAGGCACATTGGTGTTGCAGAAATAAAAATATACATGTGAACTAGAAGCCAACCATATTCCAATAATTTGAAATAGAGAATATTAATGACGAGATTTTGGATGAATTTACATTCAAAGTAATGCTAATTTGTCTTGCCCACTCGGAGCATATTAGAGTCCGAGTGATTTTCAAGTTCAACCCTCAATATTAAATGGAAGTTGTGTAAATTTTTGAATGATCATTGAAATTAGAAGATTTATTATCAGGTACCATCAAATCTAGCATGAATATTTAAGAGAAACTAGTTAAAAATCTTAAATTTATGTCATGATGACTCTTGTTCTACCACTGGCAACTGCTTTCTTACGAGTATAATCTCTTCAAATTGTTTGAAATGTTTTACAATTTTCTTCCCATCGTTATTATGGTGACTTATCATTTTACAAGTTCTATATTAAAGTAAACAGTTAGTTTGGTGTTAACATAACCTGTAGTATGGACCTTGTCAACTTTGTGCTGTTTCATTTATTCACATATGCCTTTATTTTTTTTTTTCTGTCAGAAATTCGACCAGCTCCTCATATGGATAACTTAGTCAGCATTTACAAGAGCATGGAAGTTGCCTCTGGAGTCAATATATATGTCAGTCAAACTGCAACTTTAACCAAATTATCAGGTAATAAGTTAGTGTTACTGTGGGCGGAGCCCAATTGAGGCCAGTGCAGGCACAGGCCTGCACTGAACTCTGGTCCCAACCAAAATTTTTAAATATTTTGCACTATTGGGCTTTTCAATGCAGCAACCCAAGAGAGAATAGGTTGAGCTGAATTCTAATCCTCAAAACCACAATTACAGCACAGATAAAAATTAAAGCAAACTTTACAGCACAGATAAAAATTAAAGCAAACTTCAATACCCTACACTTGAATTGAACTATGAAATTCAGTTACAAAGCCAATGAAATAAAAGTGTGCTCGGAAAAACCAAAGAAAACGTGTGCCACTTTTTTTTTGAAATAACAATTCATAGAATATCGAAATAGCCAACGGATACAAGGAGGATAAAATTCCAACACAATAGAAACTAATTAAAAAGACGCCGTCTTGAACCAATTAAAACGACGCCGTCTCGCCATTTGAATATCTGTTCAAGCCATTTCCCGCTTCTCCTCCTTCTGGTTTTGATCTGATCTTCCTCTTTCCTCTCTTTCTCCAATTCAGCTGGCCTCCTTGATTCTCCTCATAACATCCCCCCACCCCACCCCCCCTCAGAATAATCTTGTCCCCACGGTTCTAATGAAGGAAATTTGGTCAGTATAGATTCTGAAGTTTTCCTGGTTGCATCCTCCAATGGAACCTCTATGTTCAACTCCTTGCAATTGCCTGTTTGTAACTCACCATTAATAGGATAATTGTCACCAGGAGTATCCTTGGTCCCTCCAACTTCCCTTCTTATTTGAATTTTGCTAGGTCTAGGAGGAGGAAAATGAGTATCATGATGTAAAATCCAAGAATCTTGGTTGCTAAATAGTGAGTTTGAGTTATCTGGCATATCTGCAACCTCATAGGATAGATCTACAGATGATTGTCTCTTTCTCTCAGGGTCAACAGATTCTAAGTCTGCAGGAATCCTTAGTTGAGACCATTGAGTGTCATCCTTCCATTCACTAGTAGGTGGAATTCTTTCGGTTAAAAGAGGAGGTTTGATCTTTCATAACATTCTGCTGGAAGAAAATTATGCATTTTGGGATCAGCAACTGGCTTTCCCTACTAATTATAGTGAGTTGGTTACAATTTTTTCACCATTTGCTTAAGCTTAGCCTCTTTCTGGGTGTTAATGAAACTCTAGTTGATGCCTAGTCAACCTAATCTACTGCATTACAGTGAGTTGTCTTATATTTTTATCATCATTAAATTCATGGCCAAAAACTCCAAGTTTGGTGTTGATTAAATTGTGTCTGCACTGAATAATATTTCTAGCTCCGCCTGTCTAGTAAGAGAAAGTTCACAGTGACACCAAATTTATGAGTTAGACTTACATGCGGTGATGGAAGAACCTCAGTCATTTTCTTACTCAACTGAATATTAGTCACATGGATTCTTTTCCTGTAAATATCTATGTAAGTTCAGAGAAGAAAAAGGGTAATGTTTTGTGACATCAAAGACAATGCCTGATGATAAAATAACAGTCATAAAATTTAACAAAAAACTATCAACTTTTCAACCGGTCAAATTTCAATTTTAACCACGCATTTCATGGGGATCACAACTTTTATCCACTTTTCAACCATAATTTCATCAAGTTTTATCAAAATCTGTTAAAACATTTGTCAAAAACTTTGTCAAACTACCCTTGTGTGTAAGCATGTGTATAGTAGTTGAATCATGGGTGAAACCAGGACTTTTCTTAAGGGGTACGAACTGAGAAAGAAGAAATTTCTTTACTAAAAAGTCTTATCAGAGAGCATGACTTAAGTCCATGCTCCAACTATTCACATCCATGGATTAGATAGGGGAATGGCACTAGCTACCGCTCTGCCAATTCCATGGAGAGTTGATTTTCACAAACAAAACCTCATTTGGCATTAATTACCTCCAATGAGAATGAAGTCTCAATGCCTTAGCTCCCAGGTCATATGAAATATCAGCACAAGCATAAACATGTTGATTTACTGAAAAGCCTTGACACATTTCATTCGTTTAATAAGCTAATTGGGTTGCATGAACATTGCATTCTGTACATACAGATGAAGAGAACCAACAAGATCCTCGTAAAATTTGTGGGATCCAAGATAATGGAAAATCTCCCATGGAGACTATAGACCTTGAAAATCAGAAAAGACGTCAAAGAAAAGGATCGAAAAGACCATTGAAGAGTGACCAGAAAGATTTTGGTTCAGATTTAATGAAACCTTCCTTTCCTACTAAGAAACGGGTTCAGTTACCTAAGCATCTATCTTTAGAGAGCCCGACGCAGCCTGAAAAGCTGGAAGGTAGAACTAATGAAGTATCCATAAATGAACCTCAGAAACCTCATCCCATACAGAAAGACATGCCCATTGTAAATGAAAAGGGGGATCCTGTTTTTACTCCATTCTTCTGGCTGAGAGAGGAAGAGCATGTAGAGAAATCAAGTCAATATTCAGATGAGGACAAGCTCATTGATACACCGCCAGATGTTCCTTGTTTCAGTGATATGAAGGACTCGGATGATGAAGTCCCCAGTAAAATAAGCCCAAAAGTAAGTTTCAAATTTCATTTTCTATATCTGGTATCAGTTTTAGTGGAGTCAGATTACTAGTGAAACTCAATGAGAGACCTATGTCTACCTTCATTTGTGATTTAAATAGAGCAAGATAGCTTGACGGATCAATATGGTTCAGTTATTTTATTGTTGCATCTTTTTGGATCTCCTCATCATATTGTTTTTGCCAGTAGGACTTTGTGCCTTCTCTGCTCATAATAGTTGACTTTTCCTAAACTTTTTTGGGTGCATGGGAGTTAATTCATTCCATGATAGTTTCCTCACAACTTTGATTTTCAGAAGTTATGATTCACAAGGAATGCTGTCACTGCATCCAATCATTTTAAATTTCCCAGGTTGATAGAGAAAGTTTTGGGATGCTTAAAATTATCGTAACATGCTTTCTACTCCATACAGGGGAAAACTTGTATTTTATCGAACAACACAGATTTCATTGACAGCGAGATGTTTGAATGGACTCAAAGGCCTTGCTCTCCTGAACTTTATTCAAGCCCCATAGAAATGCAGGTAATTCATTAAAGAAAATGTAATCAACATCACATGATGCCCTTTTCCATCTTATCATTCCAAGGTTCTTTTTCCTTTTCGTTCTTGCTGTCTGCTTATTATGCCTATTCAGGTTGAAGATACTGAAGAGCGTGGTGCAGTTGAGGCTGAAGCTGCCTCAGCAAATGAAACTACCCGTTTAAAGCTTAAACCTAAGAAGAGAGGAAAAAAGGGTAATGGAAAGGGGTCTGGCGAAGTAAACTCTAGCTTTCCAGCTTCATCTTCTCCCTTGAGCAAAATCTTACACAATAAACCTGGAATGCGGAAGCCTAGCAGAAGAGTTAGTAACATGACTGGAAGTAGTAAAAGTAAGAAATCCTTGAGAAGTATGTGTGAAGTAACTGAAGATCCCAATCAGTTACAGAACGTAACTGAGCAAAAAATGCAAGCGAAAACGGGCAAGAAGAAAAAAGCTTCGAATTTGAGGGTGAAAAACTGTGTAAACAACCAAAATGATTGCTCCGAGGCTAATATACATGGGAGAACTCAAGAAAGCATTGCCACTTTATCTGATGGGGTGGAGCCTTTGACCATGGGCAATAAAACAGCATTGGCTGACTTTTCAGCTTCATTAAATCAGCAAGAATGCAGTGCAGAAAGTCATCACCTGAAGAAATGTTGCAAAAGCTATAAAAACTGTGAGAAGACAATTGCTTATCCACAGATAGACAGTGATAGATCAAAAGCTAGAAAGTTGAAAACTGGTAAGAGTGACATAAGCGAAAGCCTATGCAACAGCTTTTGATTTTCTATACAAGCAACCAATCTTCCACCTTAGGCAATGACAAAAATCTTTTTATTCAGGCGTGGCAAATCGAAGATGTGAAAAAAATTGTAACAACCGTTTAAGACATCTGAAGAAGGTGAAATTTTCTGAAGACGTGTCTGAGGCAAATTATGAAGACAATCCTCAAAATCTTCAGAAAAAGGCTATGATGGAAAGTCAAACATTTGGAAATTTAGGAGCAAACCATGATTGTGTTCTTTCTGACAATCCATCAAAAGCGGAGAAGGCTGTCTCCGCTTTGAGTGGTGTGCTTTTACAAAAATGTGGGACATCAACTAACAAATTCCAGTGCGCTTTCTGTCATTCTGCTGAAGAATCGGAGGTAACATTACCTCTATCATATATCCCCCATTTGTTCTTCTACCAAATCCTGTTTCTTATTAAAGATTAATTATTAATTTTAACATGTGGTTATGCTTCTTTTAATCTGAAAACCAAATCTTTAGGCTTCGGGGGTCATGGTTCACTACCTTAAAGGCAAGCTCGTCGCAGAAAGTCAGAATGGAAGTTCAGATATCATACATGTGCACAAGAATTGTACTGAATGGTATGGAAGTTCTCCAGAAGATTTTAACATATGCTCGGTTTTTTAAGTCATCAGATTTTTTTTTTTTGTTGTATGAAGTTAATGAATATCTATTTACCATCTCTAACTTTTAACTGCCTTCTGCTGGCTAAAGCAAGAATTGAAAACAAAGAAAAATTCACTGGATTTTGATGCCTTGTGTAATTCAGCTATGGCAGGATTTTTTTATGCTCCTTCCAAATTTAAGTCTCATGTTCCCGGTTATTGATATGTTTTATAAGCGCTAGTCACATTTGCAGGGCCCCTAATGTGTTTTTTGAAGATGATTGTGTGATCAACCTTGAAGCTGAAATGGGAAGAAGTAGACGGATTAAATGTTGTTGTTGTGGAATTAAAGGGGCAGCTCTAGGGTGTTACGAGAAGAGTTGCCGCAAGAGCTTTCATGTTCCTTGCGCTAAGTTGACTCCAGAATGTCGATGGGATTATGTGGGTGTAATTAAGTTCAATTTTAGTAGTCCATAAATTTTTTGTATAGATTGCTTATATTACACTTGTTACAGCAAAATTTTGTCATGCTTTGCCCTCTGCATGCGTCCTGTCAATTGCCGAATGAAATGTTGGGATCTCAGTCCAAGCAGAAAAGAAAATCTGTAGCTGAAAGGTTTGTTAGTTTTCCAACAAAATGTTCCAGGACTTTAAGTTCAGCTGGACTCATCACCTCCCCACCTTTAAGTTTGTTTTTTGCCTCATATCTGACAACTCTCCTTATTACAGGCAGTCTCACATTCACCAACCACAAGTCACTAAAAATCGTGAAAGTACCACAACTTTGCAATGGAGATGTCATGGAAAAACTAAAAACTTGGTTCTCTGCTGTTCAACTCTCACTGATGTGGAGAAGGTAAACAAGACCCAAATTTATAGCTTTAATGGGTACAATAAGAACTCACCTATTTGGGTTGTCTAATAAGTTTGATGGTGCCATTGCAGGAAACTGTCTCTGAATTTGCAAAGTTGTCTGGAGTTACTATATTGAAGAGCTGGGACTTGAGTGTTACACATGTCATTGCATCTACAGATGAGAATGGGACATGCAGACGAACCCTCAAATTTTTAATGGGCGTCTTAGAAGGGAAATGGATTCTGAGTATTGAATGTGAGTATTAATTTATTTGTAAACAAGAATACAATCAACTCAAAAGTATTACTAATAGAACTTTCTTAAGGCTTGTTTTGCTTTAATATCGCTCCAATGCATTCATTCCTCTTTCTCTTGATGTTGGTTGATTTGTTTTTGCAGGGATTAAAGCCTGCATGAAATCCGGAGAGTTTGTTGATGAGCAGCATTATGAGATTGGGGTTGATATTCATGGAATCAGAGATGGCCCAAGACTTGGAAGATTAAGGCTTATAAACAAGGTAATTTTTTCTCTACAATTGATTGGCATATATTTATTATTTTTTCTGAAGTTTGTATACTAGCACTTCGACTTCACAGTTGATTTTCTTTTGTTTTTCTGTTTAACTTATAGAAGAAGCTGCATTTTTATTTCTGTGACTTTCAAGATTACACTTGCAAGAAATGTGTGGTTAAAATTGAAGTTTGATTATGACTTTCAAAATATAATGTACTTCTAAATTTCTAATGAAATCCAAACAAACGCTATAAGCTTGTAATTTTATCCTTCTTTCCTAGATGATAACTTATTCTTCTTAAAGAACTTGTACTATAATGATATCAAAGCTTGTCACGTGTTGAAGATTTAATGGTAACCTTGATTTGCAGCAACCAAAGCTCTTTGATGGATTCAAATTCTTCTTTATGAGTGACTTTGAACCTTCATGTAAAGGTTATCTTCATGATCTCGTGATAGCAGCTGGGGGAAAAGTTTTAAGCAGAAAGCCTGTTTCAGGAGATGAGGCAATTCTTCCTCTCAGACCCTCTGTGTCAACTACCTTTATAATTTACAGCCTTGAGCTTCCTGAGAACTGCAAGGCAGCCAATAGAAATTTGATTTTGAACGACAGACGAAATAATGCCAAGTTTTTAGCAAGTTGCACTGGAGCTGTGGTAGCAAGCAATTCGTGGATTATGAACTCCATTGCTGGCCATAAGTTGCAAAATCTTGCAGATTAACGAAGTTTCTTCATCAGAGCCTTTTTCTTGCTTATAAATGCACCAGCCTCGTTTCTGTATATAGCTTGGGACATGTAGTAGTGCCAAAGTACGAGGTTCAAGCCTTTTTATAATATCACTATTTATCAGAACGTGTGGCGAGGAACAGTTGACTGCATCAAGTTATTTATGAAAACGAATATATAATCGTGGAGTTGAATCTTATTGACATATTTGTACCTGTATTGCCTATTTATCTTAAATTTCATTTTTAAGAACCTCAATTTTCTCTAGCAAAGACAGAAATTTGTGAAATTGTACATAGGTTAAAGAACTGAACAAATGCCCTTTTTTCAAATTTATTAAAACTGCCAAAATTTAAGAAAACAAATATATGCACCATTGAAAAATAGAAACTACTGGCATAATCAAGATCTGCTTTCTCTGATTACAAGTTTCATTCAAGAACTGAAGGCTTAGAAGTATTGATCTCTCCTTTTGTCTGAAGACATTCTCCTTTCTTTTGCTCGAGTTTCGCAACCATCATTTGGAAGCACTCGAACATATGTTCCAATGCAATGATTTCCTCTTGAACATCAACTGGTGGATTACTACCCGAGGCCATACGTTCTTTAAAGCTACGGACTTTGTCTCGTTTTTACTTTTGCCCCCATTTCATCCATAGTCGAACGCATCCCCGCGTATTCTTCTCGTGCTAATTTTAGTTTCCTCTTCATGGATTTATACCCATGGAGTGACATTAAAAGTTGCTCTGAGAGTACTTTGCTATGTTCTTGAAGGTCTAGGTTTCCTAGTGTTTCTCCTCTATTGCTTCCCTTTTCTTTATGATCCAAAGCTCGTTCTTGTACTTTTTCCAACAATGACTCATTTTGTGCTTTCAAATCATTAACAAGCTCTTCAATTCCATTCAAATTTATGTACCTTTCTAGAAAGTTCTGCGGCCATAATCTCTCTCTCTTTTCCCAAACTCGGAACACGTTATCTCGAGGCTCTTTTCATAGCCTTTCTTTCTCGTATGTGATCGGTTCGCCTTGCTTTTTGTCCCTCGGAACATGGTTAGGTTTAAGATCCATGTTGCATCGCCACAGCTCAACTTCTGAAGTTTTATAACCAAATGATTGACATTTCTGAATTCTTGTCCTAACATTATCAAGAATTGTCATCATTGTAGCCACCCTTAACATTCTCCTCCCATCCTTTTTCTCTTTATTACATGCATCCTAGTGATCTTGGATTAGTTTCAACAATAACTTTACACCATGCTGCAACTCCTGAACATTATATAAATAATATTGATAAAAAATCTGAGTTACCATTCAATTACTTTAAACTTTTAGACGAGAATGTTCGATTTGTTCTATATTCAACTTTCGTAACCGTCCATTTATTCAATATCTTAAACGTTTTCATTTGAGTTATTTTGTAGTGATCTAAAGGTGGCAATCATGAAGAAAATTGAAAATGGGATAATAAAAAGAGTAATTACATGCTTTTGTTACGTGAAAATTAAAATTTTTTGAAATAATGACTGAATTCTTTTGTTGAGATTTAATATTTTGGTTTGGCCATGTATGTCTCATGACGATTAGAGCATGTTTGGCAAAGTTTAAAATTCAATTAAAATTGAAAATATAGCCGTTATTGGGTCTCACTCGTTTAATAAAAGTCAACAATAACGACTGATTTTTCAATTTTAATCCAATTTTAATCTCTACCGAACACGCCCTTAGTATTGACCTATGTCTAGCCGATGTAGGACTTCTTTTACTCCCAACAATCCTCCCCTCAAACGGAGGACCACATCATTGTGGCCTCCCCTCAAATGATAATCCATCAGCCAATCATATTGTACCNAAACGATAATCCATCAGCCAATCATATTGTACCGCCGTTATTGTCGTCGCCCTCGACCAAACATGACCCGTCGTCTGACCACTATATTTTTATGTCAAGAAAACTTTCGACACAAAACACCTCAAAAGCTGATGATTTATAGCTAGACACAAGGCTAAGTAGGGGGGACCTCCTCCCCGCTTTCTGATGCGTTCCTCCAGCTAAGTTTTTGGGTCCTGGACTCTGATGCCACTTGTTGGGACCTGCCAAACTCCATATTAGTATAATATTGTTCGCTTTGGGTCTGAACTCTCGCAAATTTGCTTTTGGATACTACCCAAAACATATATTCATATTGGTATGATATTGTCCACTTTGTACCTAAGCCCTCATGGATTTACTTTTGGGTTTTACCCCAAAAGACCTCATACAAATGGAGTATTGTCATATACTTATAAACCCATCATATTTCCCATGTCTAACCGATGTGAAACTTCTTTTACTCCCAACACTTAGGCGAACTAGTCCATAAGAAGAAAACTAGCTACAAACACAAGTTGGACATAAACAAATTACTTTTATGTTGCCTATAAACAAATTATTATTTTTTAAAGAAAAAAAAGTGGATTGAAAACTTTATAGTAAGTAATGTCTCTAATTATTAAAAATCGATCAAAATACTTAGTTTTGATGATCGGTTCAACGCTTAACTGACACTGGCGTCAATATGTTTCGAATCCACTAAAAAGATTAAGGATTATGGTGCTACCACGAGTGTGAAATCAATGAGCACAAAACATTTTATTCGTAGAGTATATTTTAAGGGGAAAAAGAATTCTCGAAAATTAATATTAGAAGCAATCATAACATGTTTAGAGGTCTAATTAATAGTGAGTTCCCGAACCAATTCAAGGAGAATTTGCAAAAGAAAAAAAAGGGAACATTTCACTTTCCTTAGGAATTTCTTCACGATGAAATTAGGTCGACTCAAATGAAATAAGGGAAATTTTCATAAATGTTACTCAATTTGAAAATCCAAACAAAAAAAATGCCATTTTCACTTTTTTGAGCAAAAATGTCACTTTTTTGGAGCAAAATATCCAAATTACCCTTAATAGCACCTTTTGATGAGCATTTAATGTTTAATTTGGATGGAATTAATATTATGATGTGATCATTTA